TTGCCGACCCAAAGGACTCCGTTGCCAATGCCGGGCATTCGGCCGCCAAGCGCCACCAGAATTAACAAGAAACACTGACAGTCAGCAGAGCAGAAACAACGCGGCAGATGTCATAGAAAGCTAAGATGAAAAGACCAGAAGCTGTGAAACAGCTGGTCCGAAATATTGGATGCAGGTCATGATCATCAAAAGTGGCTAAAGCTGCTTAGACTATCAGAATGCCATCAGCAAGGCTCTGATCTCCAGCCCGGAGCGAGGTTGCGGCGCCGACTCGGACATGGAGCTGAAGCCTCATCAGGGCCTCGGAAAGTCGATCACGGCATCCCGAACACCGGATGGGTCCGGTCCCGCACCCATCGCCAGGCGCTCTGCATGACATTATGGACCATCTCGATCATCAAGGGCAATACCTTATCCTGAACGCTCCACCATGGCGGTTGGGAAGACGGAGATGTTAACCTCTTTCCGTACACCAAAACACCATGGCCATAGCTCTACCCCTCCAAAAGACGGATACTGTATGGAGTCTTTTCGACCTCATCACTGTCATTTCACAGACCCTATCAGAGCCTATCTCGAAGTCACAACCTCAAAAACACGCTATCGGAACAGAGAGCTCACTAGCCTCGTCTTCGTTCCTTCATTTCCCGATGCTGTGGATTTCTAGTGTTCACTACGGAATCTCTCCCTTGCCTCCTAAACGCGGAAGAGACAGGTAACATGCACTAAAAGCTCACTAATGTGTTGCTACCGTTGGAGCGCTAAACCAAAGCACCCAGCGCTGCATTGCGCTAGAGGGTACTGTAGGCGGATAATGAGATGGAAATAGGGTGTGGAATCGTGCCCGTCTCCGAAGCGAAGCCGTCGATGCGGCTCACGGAGCATTTGACAGGAGGGGCCGAATCATGATGCTGACGCCTTCATGCATCTCGACAAGAACGATGGAATTGTTGCCTTCGCGGTCAAGACTCGCTGTTGAACACACACGAAACCGCCGCAACCGGCCCTTCCACAAGAGAAAGACACGGAAGCCGGCCATCAAGAGCGATTTCGGACTGACCACTATAACCAGCCGCCAGTTGCCAAGACAATTCAAGCTTCCGACGTACAGCTATGGTGCGCTTTCCTCTATCTCTGCCAAGATACTACCGTCTAGACTGAGATAGGGACACAAGCTGTGATGTGATCTCATCTGTCCGGGCAACCGACAGCTTTGTGAACCCAAACTCTCATGCACGGGTGGGAAGACAACCCGACTTGGAGACTCCGGCTTCGGAGATTCGAGTGAGGAGTAAGGAAGGACAGCAATGCTGTTGGTGTTGCTTCCGTGATTCCGTCCCTCCTCGTCGTTGATAGGGTCAATGGACGGGACAGATGTTGTACGAACTGGACGGCTTGTTGGTTGGTTCGTTAGCTGACTGAGGTGGCCGGTAGGCTGTATTTCCCGAGCGGGTGTGGTTGGTATCGATGACCTGTAATGGAATCCGAACTGAAAGAGATAAGTGAGTCGAGCTCATCATCCCACCTGTTCCTCCTCTGTATCACTTCTCAACTTTATGCACACCCAACAGTGGATGAACAGTTAGTTCGTAGGGAGTTCACACTACTATACCGCGGCTGTGTATTCGTGGAAGTCATTTCCAGAAATGGAGGTGGAGGGGGAGGAAGGCTAGCTTCACCTCAGCCCAGCCCAGCCACTAACGATCCATTAAACGGGCAGTGACGACTGACGATTCGGGTGACCGCGGACACCCACTCCATGTCACCACACCACGCCTCCTCCCTTCTTTCGCCTGCGCCTTCAAGTTACCAGCTTTCTATTTGATTTTTCTGTCGAGTTCGCAAAAAGAGAAACTCGTTCGTCCTGCGGCATTTGCACGGACAAGAAAACAGAAACAGAAACAGAAATGGAAGGAATGCATCCATGCGAGGCAGGAAGGGGCGGCCGTGGCAGGGCGGCTGGTAACTTTCCACTTTCGAACCCTTGTTAACACCTTCCTCGCTTTCAAGACCGACAGGCAAAGACAGGCGGGCCAATTAGGGGATAATTTCGACGTGGGGGTTCCCAACCAAGCACCCAAGGCACCCAAGGCGCACGCAGCAGACCACCACCCCGCAGCATGTGGTCGGTTCCCTTGCGATGCAGTGTGGGACGGACACGGGCGAGCACGGGTTGGACGCGGGGGGGCCTGCTCGGTCGAGCCTGCCTGCCTCCTGCCCTGCAAACTGCCAGGCGCCAGCTTGTGATGGAAGGTTGGCGACAGGGGCTGACTGACTTCCATGAGCGAGTGCTGTATGAGGGTTGGCCTGAGAAACCAACACAGGAGGAGGTCGTCATTTGTCGTCTTCATCACTCATCGTTCATCAGGACTCTTCTTTCGATGAACGGTCTCGATATTGAGGTCATGACAAAGGGAGGTGTGAGAGAGTCCTGCTGCGATTTGATCGAACTCGGCCTGGACCTGGACCTGGACCTGGAGTTGGAACCCGCTGAACCGTAACCGGAACTGGACTAAATGGCTAGTTTGGCATAGTTGCTTGTCGGTCAAATATCCCAGTGACCCGGGCCGATGATCACTCCGCGGTGGGAACAGGTTCGTTCGTTCGTTGCTAGTCTTTAATGTTGTTGCTGAGAAGTCGTCTGCCTTCTCATGCTCCTCCATGGTCCTCGAGTGAGACACCTAACCCTGAGGTGTTGACTCTCCATCGTATATCTCATGCTTTGCAGACTTCAAGTGTTGGTCGTTGATGTTGATGCCTTCATATTTTTCGATCGAGTTGGTGAAGTTGAAGTTGAAGTGTTGTCGAAGAACTGTTGCCTGGCTGCTTTGTCACTTCAACACTTTCTCAAAGACAGGAGGGACGGAATCAGCGAACCTTTTATATTCTCCTCGCTTTCTCTCTTCGGCCCCTTGAAAAGGCTTGAAAAGGAAAGTATACACCCATCCATCCATCCATCCATCCATCCATCAATTGTGTGCTGGCATCACAATCGCAATCGCAATCGCAAATTTGCTTGGTTCCCGTCGTTCAAAAGAGATACCTCCCGTCTATCAGTGTTATTTCCCTTATCTCTTGGTGTACATACAATCGCATCACAACCCGGATCTGAGGTTATCTGGGGTTGCCGTCCAACCATTCACAGGGCAGCGTGCCGATCCCCCAGATGAGAGATGGCCACCTGGACAGTGGACACAGGGGCATTTTTGGTAACTTTTTGACACTTCTGGACTTTTGCGAAGTTTGACGAGCTCTACGACCGACCACTCAAATTTGGCATTGGCAGTTCACTATCTGGGGCTTCTTCTGCAGTGCACTTTCCTATCTAGAGGTATCTTCAGGGGTGTCCTATAGCTGTTTGCAGCAGCACTGATACCTATCTATATATCTAGGTATCCATCTATCCCTCTATCTGATACGAAGAGGGATCATGGTTATCACTCGCTTTTCAACACCCAACGGGCAGTTGAAAGCAAATGAAATTGTGGAATTAATTTGTGGATATGACGGAATTTATTCCACCTGCTCTTTCGAGACATCATTGTGCAGACCATACAGCGAAAGTGATGCTTGGACACTGCTTGGCTAGCTTGGACTGGAGTCACCGGAGAAGGTCCAGTGCCCGAGAGGGCGATTCCGCTGTTTGTCAACAGCCTATGGGCGCACCCATTGTTCTACACGTGTACGGACAACACGACGGGAAGTCTACTTCACTGGCAAAAAAAATAATCTTATCAGTCATCAGCTGAAGCCTCGAGATTTTCTCTTGTCTTCTTCTTGGCTTGTTCTTGGGAACGGACTCGCCGACAGCGTGCACGAGTTTCCAGCAAAATACTTGGCGTCCTTGGAATATAGGGACGCAACTCGACAACAAATGTCCCTCAAAACTCACACCCTTATGCAGACTCCCACGAAGTATATACATGATTCCTACTGTACCTAGTCATCCACGAAGGGTCCTTCTGGGAAGTTTCGCTCGCTATGGGAGAAGCTTCGAAGGGTAACTTACAGTACCTAGCTCAGCAAGCAAGCGCCACTAGAAAGTGCTCACATGATATCAAAATCTGTGACGTTGATATCAAGGGACACAAGACTGAGCCAATCATGAGCCAGCGAAAGTTTTTGTAAGTGAGCCGAGGACGAGCGACATTGCCTGTTTCAGAAAACCTTTCCAGAAGCTTTCTAGAAACTTTTAGGGATGATGACAGGAAAATGTCTCGAAGACATCCATCCAGTCGGAACACTTGACAATATCTCTAGGTGACGAAAGATGTCAACATCACTTGGCCCTGCAAGGCGAGGCGAGGCGAGCAAGGAAGTGTCACGGAATGCACTCAGGTGCCTCTTCCGAGACAAACTATATAAGACCACTTGAGTGACCGAACTGCCAGCTTCGGTTACTTGTATCCTTTTGGAACATAGCCTAGTGGTGTGTGGTCCACCAGCGCCGTGACAAGTACAATGACCATGACGGGACTCGGGACTCAGGAGAGACTGGTGGCGTGGCCTAGGCGAGTATGGTAAAGGGACAGCAGTAGGTAAAAGGTAGGTAGGTAGGCAGGTAGATAACCACCAGACGGTACTCATGTCGAGTGACTCTTGAAAAGGGGTGTCGATGTCCATTAGCAGCGACATACCGCAGAATTTCCTGGCGTTGATTTTCGGGGTTGTGACAAATCTCAGCGAAATCCCTTCCCTTAAGGCACCCGATCGAGAGTTAAGGCTTGAAACCCTGAAAATCAACGACAGGAAATTCTGCGGTACATATGTGCTAAAGGTAGTCTTCAACATGGAAGCGATGAGCAACACGGGAGCATGCAACGGTTAATAGATCTCGAATCGATGAATCGACACCAATGACCAACTGGACGAAACAACCACCTGTACAAACCTCTCCGAACTCCAAGATAGCAACCCCAAGAAAAGCCACCTACCCAATCATGAACCCTCAACCTTTTTCGACCAGCCAGCCCCCCAAGCTTCCTATCGCAAGTCTAAGTCTAAGCCTGCGAAGCATCCACCGTGGAAGAAACCTGCGAGGACTCCTCCCTCACCATCTGGCTCGCAAACGGAATCGTCCTGTTCAACAACCCCCTCTGGATCTCCGCGAACTTGCTAAAGTTCATCTTGACTGTTCCCTGGGGGTCGACGTGCTCGCCAGAGATGATGGTATGCACCCTCATGCGCTTATCGTACCTGAGCCCGGACAGCAGCTTGGGTGTGATGAGGAAGTATTGGGATGTATGCTCGCGGCAGGCGATCTCGACCATGCGCTCGTGCACCATGCGCTCGTTGCGGGGGTCCATACCCTGGTTGATCTCGTCGACGACGCGGAAGGGGGCTTGGGCCATGGATTGCAGGGACATGAGATAGAAGATCGTGGAAACGGCGCGCTCGCCGCCGGATTGACGGTGTTGATCGAGACGTTGGAGGGCTTCGCCAGCTCTGTAGGGTGGAAAAGGGTTAGCAGCTGTGGGAGGAGAGAGAGAAAGGAGGCAGTAGAAGGGGAAACGTACCTGAAGCGGACCTTGATTTCGATGGCCCACTTGTCGAAATCCTCGTCCTTATGGACGCCAACTTCTCCCGCGCAGCTGATTTGTTCAAAGTTGTACGAGAACGCATCGTTGATCCTGCTGACAAGCTCATCGAGCCTGGGCTCCCACTGGCTCCTGATGGTTTCAATTTTGGCGTTGACGTCGGCGAGCTGCGCTGTGCAGCGATCATGGATGGCTTTCTGGCGCTCGATTTTCTGGGCCCAGTCCTGGTATTCTCTCAGCGCATGGGGATTGTTAGCCTCGATGCCTTCTGCCAAGGTCTCCTGCGCCCTAAGATCACTCTCAACCTGCTCTAGAGTCGTGGCCTTCGCCAGAGCAGAGTACTCCCCCTCTCTCCTTTCCTCGTCGGTGAGAGCATCTTCGGCGGCCGCCTTCGCATCGATGGCCCACTGACGTATCTGGGCCATTTGCTGTGTGATTTCCGCCAAGGCTTCTTCCTCATCCTTGAGGTTCTTGATTATCTCGACGTTCTTGTCCTTCAGCACTTCAAAGTCCGACTGGGCTTCGATAAGAAGCACCTTTGCCTCCTGGAGCGCCTGATAAGCCTCTCGGATGTTTGAAAGTTTCGCCTGATGCTGTAGAACGGCTTCGGCCATTTGGAGAACAGCGCGATCGTGCTGCTTTTGGAGATCGGCCATCTGGCGCCGAGCCTCAACAAGCTCCTGTATCTTGTCCTGCTCGGACCTCTTCTCCGATTCTAGGAGTAAGGTTAACATGACTGACGTATGCACAGTTAGGGTCATAGAAAACCTACCGATCTTGTCGGGGAGAGCTTGCCATATACTGTGTTCCCTTTGTAGCTCGTTTTTCTGGGCTCGTACTTGCTCCTGTTGTGGGTGTCAGTGATTTGGATCCAGGGAATTACAAGCCGAGTAACGTACAACATCATCCCTCATCTTTGCGACCTCTGCACGCAACGCATCCATGAGCTCTACCAATCTGGTATTTTCCTGTTTCAATTCTTGGAGCTGGCCGACAGCTTCAACCATCTGACGCTGCAACTCCCTCTTCACGGAGTCATCCACCGGCGTGTCTTTCCAAAACTTGCCGCCACGGACCTGCTGAACGCGAGTTGAGACGGCATTAGCGCCATATTCTACACGGCGGGTGCTTGTGTAGAATTGCTTTCCGCCGGCAAAGTAGCGGATGCGGCCGTCCGAAATGATGCTGTTGTATTGTTCTTCCGAAATATCGGCAAGTCCAACTGCAGTGCTGTTAAGTCTCTTCTCGGCGCACAACATGGCCAGTACTGGGTCTGGACCATCAAGATAGTCAATGGCGAATCCGTCAAGACCGAGCGCGTTGAGTTCTTCCTGCGATGTAGGCCGCCTGAACGAGTTGATGTCGGCAAAACAGGTGCGAATATTGACGGAAAGCCCCTTAACGTCATACAACTGAGTGCTGAGCGTACTGTGATCATTTTTGGTCTGTGCCGTGAAACACAAAAAATCACTATCCTGCAGAAATGCTTGTATAAGGTCGGAATAACGAGGTTCCTTGACAGAGCAGGTCAGCATTGGGGGCCCGAATACCTCCTTCTCAAAAAGCTTCTGGTTCTCAGGCTCCTGGAGCCATTCCCAAGCCTGGGCAGCGTCGCGGTTGATCTGTTGCAGGTAGCTGAGTAACTGGCCTTGGTGGGAATCGAGAGCGTCGATTTTCGCCTGGGCCGTCCGCACTGTCTTCTGGTTTTCTTTCCCTTGAATTTTTACGGTCGCCCACTTTTCATTTAGTTCCGCGAGTTCCTGATCCTTATCGCGAATCTTATGCTCTTGCTCTCGCTGTTGAGTGTCAGCACATTAACCAGGTCGTTTTGCTGCCGTCAGGGAATTACCACTTACAATCCGCCTGTTCCATTCGGCTGGATCAAATTCCCTAGGGTTTTGTGCGTACTTGGCTTCCAATTCCGTGATTCTCCTACGGATCTTGCCAACTTCTTGTCTTCTGGCAGCAAACGCGCCTTGCTCCGCTTCAAGCTGACCAGCGAGGTTCCTGACTTTGCTCTCGGCCGCCTCAATTCCTCTGACAGCATTGTCGGCATTTTTTTCGGCGTCTCTGAGCCTAGCTGTCCTGGTTCCGACAGCGGCTTTAACCCCCTCCACGTATTCCTGCTTTTTATTCACCGCCTCCAAGGATGGAGCAGAATCTCGCTGGAGTCGTTTTAGACGGCGTTCCGCATCCTTCTTCTTCTGCTTTTCCACGGAAAATTGTTCACGAGCCTCGTTGTAGGCGACCACAAGCTTCAGCTTTTGGAGTTTGGCAATGGCGGCCTCGTACTGTTCTTTTTCCCGAAGCCTCTCGACATCTGCCTGCAGAGCTGCTTGTCGCTCTTCCAGTCTCTTGATCTCCTTGCCGCCCTCGTCGGCACTGCGCTGGGCTTCTGCTTGGACTTTGTAGTGGTCTTTCAGTTCGCTCTGCCATGCGATCATTTCTTCCGGTGCGGCGGCTTGCAGAGTCTTCTCCAGCAGCTCGACCGGAGTGAGGCCAGCAAACTCGGCCACCTTTTCCTGGGGCAAGAATTGGCACAGATTGTCGATTTGGATGCGTAGCCTACTCATCAGTCGGTGCACCTCCTTGTGAGTGGCTTTCCTACCGTTGATGGTGAAATCGCGGCTGTTAGTCTCTCGGGTGATAAGAAGACCGACAACGTAGTTGTCTTCTCCGGATTCCCCTTGGAGTTCCACCTCAATAGTAGCTTCGTCCTGTCCGTGCTTCACATACTCTCCGTAAGCAGTGGCGCGGCCCAAGACGTTGGAAGGGAAGCCTAGTCCCAAGCAAATAGCACAGACAAGCGAGCTCTTGCCGGTGCCGTTGGGCCCAATGACCATGTTCAAACTCGGACCAAGGAAAAACTCGGCCTCGTTGTAGGTGACGAAGTCCTTGAGTTTGACGCGAACAATGGCACCAGGCTGGAATTCGGAACTGCCTTGGCCATTTGGCTGAGGTGATGCCGATGCTGTAGAATCCCTTCTCCTCCGTGATCGGGCTTGTAGCCTGCTGCCGTTAACATTATGTGAGCCATCTCCTCCTCTGAGGTTGAAGTTGCTGAACATCTCGTCATCTGTTGGATTTGGCTGTCCCGAGGCGGGGAAAGACACAGGCCGGGACGCCATGCTTGTGGGAATGTACGATGTGGGCGAGAGTCGGCGATTCCTGTTGGAGAGGCTGGCAAAGGAGTCTCTTGTGTGAACTCAGGGCATATTCCAGCGATTTGGAGGCCGGAATCAAGACCTTGTCAATGCTGGATCTGGACCTGGACCTGGACACCTGAGACAGGTCTGAGGCGAGACTGAATTAGAATCGATGGTATGGAGACACTGGAATAGTAGGATGGGTAAAAATTTGCACAGGAACCAAAGCTATAAGCGATGGTGGTGCAGAGGAATCAGACGAAGACGTCGATAGATACAAAGACCGGATGTCGTTTGAAGGAGGTTGAACGAGTCAAGAAACGCGACAAGGCGCGTTGGTTAATGGAGTTTCCTGAATGGGCTGTTGCTGCAGTGGAGAGAGGAAGAGACGGGTGCGGGTCGCCAGGTCACGAGGTGGGGATGGCCCGTGTGTTGCTGCCCGTTTGCTCGAAAGTTATGCATCTTATGCATCTGTACCTTGGCTGGCCTGTTTTTGTCCAAGCTTCGAGGCCCTTGTGCATTTGTGGCTTGGCGCTTTAGTCAATTTTCTGTACAGCTCAAACTTGCTGACTTTATGTCATTGATCACGACTACCACATGAGAAGCGATGTTTTCTGAAATATCAGCTCTTCCCGTTGTCCTATTTTTTCTTGAACATTGCCTAAAGCCTTTATTCCTCTTCGGAGACGCGCCCTTTTCCACGACGTGCTGTTGACTCATATTTGTGCTTATCCATTCCTCGCATCCATAATATGCCATTGAGGTCGTCTTCCCAGTTGCCTCGCTTTATCTCCTCTCCAAGCTCATTAAGGGTTTCTCTACCACACATTTCGATGGAGCTTATAACATTTGACAAAGCTTGGGAAGGAACTGATAACTCTGAAGTTTATGGCAAGTCAACGTCATGGCTGGCATGATGCATTCCACTCACCTTCAACGGAGTTTGAATGGCCTCGACGGACGTCAACCGAACACTATGCAATAAAAGCTGCTTTTTATCTCTAAGTAGCACTGGTTTATATCTTACAGCATCATTCTTTTTACAGGTTTTCTTTCGTGAAAATCGCTTTGTCCTTAGGCGGCTTCCCTTTTGTATGTGCAAGTCCACTGCCTGTCCCAAACCGCCTTTGGCTCTTGGGAATCACCGTGCTGATAAACACCACTAGTTGTGTATAAGCAAAATACCCGATGCCACAGATTATTTTCCCTGCTGACAGGCACTCAGAGCATTTGATTTCACTGGTTGCAAGAGTAAAAGGTAATGGTAATTCAATTCTACGAGGGAGTGTCTGGCACACTGACGGTCATGATGGGAATAAGTGGAACAGAGGCCGACAACGCAAGAACACCTCACACCTATCAACTGTTGTTCTGGGACACTCTAGACTGGTAGCATCAGGACATGCAGGTTGCGGGATTGCTTGCCTACTAGTTCCCATTGTGTTGTTGTTCGTCTGATGTCACTGGAATGGCGCCGGCCGGACTGTCGTCGTGGGCAGTCAAGGGTAGGCGGTTGCCGGGGAGATCGCACCTTCCATTCCAAGGACGTCCACCCGGCGGACCTCAAACATCGGTTGGCCACGCCAAAACAAAACCCGAAAATTACCACAGCTGTTCCGGTCCGTCAAGGCCAAAATTTCCAGTCCCGTCACTGCAATTCTGAAGTACCGGTCAAGTCGTCCCGACCCAAATCTGAAGTGCCACCCGCAGCCTCAGGTCTTCCGCCTCCACCTTTCTCGTCCGGCTCTTCACATTTTCCTCACCTTCTCCTCACCTTTTGGTCTCGACTCTCGATACTCCAACCCGCGTCCTCGACATCTTCCAATTCTTGCACTTTCACTTGCGCAAACCATCCCATTGGGTTCAACTCAATTCGTATCGGGATTTCCCATCTTGTTGCTCGTGTCTCTCCTTCTTCTTCCTACCCTGTTGCCTCCTTGGCATCGCCAGCTCGACGTTGCTCTTTCCTGTTGTCTGTCGCCGTCTGTACCTACCTAGCTAAGGTACCTTCTTCCTTCGCAGAGACAAAAGTCGCGATCGTACTAAGCATCTACAGCCGCCCGTCGCGACTTGATCGCTTCATTGTCCTCGGTCGTCCTCCACCGACACTGGCGGGGTTCTACTATCCTTCCATGCCACGCTGATTCTATTCTGCGATTATGGATCAACGAACGGGCTCCCGTGTTTCCGTCCGCCAACCCCTCGGCGACGCGACTAACAGGGCAAACATCGCCGCCATGCAAACCAGCTCGCGACCCAAATTCGACGCCAACTCCAAGTCATGGAAGACAACCCGCAGCAAATCTGCCACTCCCATCTTTACCGACATCCCTATGGTTCAGCACCATATCGTAACCATCCCTTCTCCAGTTGCTGTACCGGATGTCCCCTCCATGAGCCGCCTCCGTTACCCTTCCTCCCTTCAGCAAATGAACAACCAAGAAATACACGATGCGCGCCGTGTATCACAGTTCTCCAATGTCTCCTCCAATGCGTCCAGCACCCGCCTTCAAAAGACCCATATCGGCCCGTGGCAGTTGGGCAAGCAACTAGGAAAGGGTGCCTCTGCCAGCGTTCGCCTTGCGCGCCATCGCACCACCCATCAGCTGGTCGCGATCAAGATTGTAGCCAAGAGCACCGCCCATGTTACTCAAGCTACGAGTATGGTGAACTTGGAACGGGTCGACTACCGCAAGTCAAGCACAGGCGCCGACGGGGTTCGCCGAATGCCCCTCGCCATCGAGAGAGAGGTTGCTATCCTCAAGCTGATCCAACATCCCAACATTATCAAGCTGCATGACATCTGGGAGAACAGGCAGGACATGTAAGACACACTGCTATGTCCAGTTCTTGGTAATCAACCTAACTAACATCTGATCCAGTTACCTCGTCACGGAGTATGTCGAAAAGGGTGACCTATTCGACTTCATCAACTGGAACGGCTGCCTCGGCGAAGAGGAAGCGATATTCTATTATCGGCAAATGATGAGCGCTCTCGAGTATTGTCACAGCTTCAACATCTGCCATCGCGACCTGAAGCCCGAGAACATCTTGCTCAAGGCAGATGGCCAAATCAAGATTGCCGACTTTGGCATGGCAGCCCTGCACCAGGAGCCATCCCACCACCTCAAAACTGCTTGCGGCAGTCCTCATTATGCCGCCCCGGAGCTACTTAAGCACCAACCCTACAAGGGCTCAGCCGTGGACATCTGGGCCATGGGATGTATCTTGTTTGCCATGTTGGCTGGCCGTCTCCCCTTCGATGACACCAACATGGACATCATGCTCCAAAAGGCCAGAAGAGGCCATTACAAGATGCCAAGTAATCTCTCCCGAGAGGCTAAGGACCTTGTCCGGAAGATCTTGGTCGTCAACCCATTGCAGCGCATTACCATGAAGCAGATGTGGAGGCATCCCCTCATCAAGAAGTACGACTATGTCGACGATTATCAGCAGAGCGATGGTCAACCGCAGGACGTCTTGAGGAACGCAGACATTGGTCCCATCCCAGAGAAGGAAGTTGATCCCCAGATCCTCAGACAGCTCAAGTCCATGTGGCATTCCCTTTCAGAGGCCCAGATCAAAGAGAAGCTTGGCAAGGAGAAGTAAGTCTAAGCATCTTCTGTCTAGTCTTTATTCCGCCTTTATTCTAACCTTGCGCAACAGACCAAACGACCAAAAGGTGTTTTACTGGCTCCTCTATCGTCACAGAAGAAATCAACTCGAGAACTATAACAACGACATTCCCATTTCGAAGAGCGACTTCCACCACTTGAAGCCCCCTAACTGGGGAAAGCGCATTTCCACCTGCGAATTCACACAGCCCTCTAGAAATGGTCATGGAAGGAGCATTTCCAAGTTCACCGTCATTTCCAACGTCGCCGAAGTTAATGATTCCGGCACTGTCAGGAGCTATGATCCTTACAGAGCGTCACAGGTCTTGCGCAATTGCTCTTCAGAAGCGAGCCACGCAAGAATCACTGTCCACCGCCATCCCTCCGAGCGAGGCACCCGGTCCAGCACGTCGAACATTGCCCATTCGTACAACTCCTATACATCTTTTGGCGGTTCATTCCGCAGGCGCACTAGGATGAACTCTCAACGCACAAATACCACAGGGCGCTTGCGATCTTCCATGGGATCCATGGGTTCACTTAGGAGTCTTAATGGCACACCTCGCGTGCGGGCAAACAACCGATCCAGAAGGGGTGTTGACTTTTCCAGCATTCGTGCGAGAGATCGTCTCCAGGCACGGGTTCGCGAGAATGTGCGCGCTGCTTCGAGCAGTGTAGCTGGTAGCAGCGTGGTTGATAGACGCGACTCCTGTCGACAGCAGCTGAAGCAAAAGGGCTCGGATGCCCACTCTGCCAACAACACTTTGAGATCGAGAGATGCGACGCTCATCTGGGACAAGGAACTGCAGCAGCTCGGCTATAGAATTGCGATGGACTGCGATGAAGCATTCCGTAGCTCTCTTGTCGGGTCCGAATCTAGTGTTGCTGTTAGCGGGTCTCGTGAGAACAGCCCATTTTCTCTCTCTCTCGGTACATCTTCGCCCTCTCCACAGCCAGAGTCGCCGACCGCACCATCTTCCGATCAACAAGCCGTCAACCAGTCGTGGGTCAACCGGCCTCTTCCTCCGATCCCATCTATCGAAGTTTCTCCGGTTGCAACTCAGACCTATGGGGTTAACGCCCATCCAGCTCCCTTGAGGATAGAGCGACTTTCTTTAGGCAATCCTGCCTCGCAAACTGTTGTCCCAGACCGTCGTATCGTCTCGGAGCCTGCCTACACGACACCTGCTGGTAGGGATCCCCGACAACTTCCGTCCATCTATGAGACGGCGTCTGAGGACTGGACGCGCAATGCTTCCACCAGGTGGGCCTCTCCTGACACACCATCACCGGCTGAGCACAACCAAGCGCTGGACTACTTGACTAGAGCTGAAAACACTATTCGTGTGGTCAACTCTCCCGCGACAG